AATATGAGAGAGAGAGAGAGAGAGAGAGAGAGAGAGAGAGAGAAAGAGAAAATAATCATCTGACATTATCTTTAGTTGTATATAAAAAAAAATAACACTAACACAGTTTGATATAGAAAATCAATCGAAAATCAGCAATGACCGAAATTTTTTTCGGGTCAAATCCCGTAAAAAAAACAAAAAATCTATAGATTTAATTTTCATTTCAAACACACACACATAACCGGGTATTATATAACTAACACTGCAGCAGCACCAAGAAAAATACTCGACCAATTGATTCATTCCAAATGTTTAAATCGTATAAACATCATAAATCGGTGATTTACCTGAATTCAATACAACCAAATGTCTATTTTGAACCAAAAAAAAAAAAAACATAATGTTTAAATCAATCATCATATGATTATAATCATTTGGTCATCAATCTATAACTATAAATTAATCGATCAATTTTAGCTTCAAATTCCTTTTTGTTTTGTTTTTTTGTTTCATTCAAAACTTTATAACGGTCATATATGATTGATAATTGAATTGAATTTTAATTTAGTAGATTTTTTTTCATTTCTTTAAATCATCTTCATCACCATCACTATTTCGGGGTTCTTTCTCCGTTCCTCCATTCATTCATTCATTCAATCATCCAGAAATATGAAAAAAAGAAGAAAATTTAGTTCAAATTCAATTCGATTATTAGTAGTTTGAAAGGAAAAAAAATTCATAAATTCAATATCGGTTTTTTTTTCATTATTATTATTATTATTGAACAGAAGTTATATGAACAAAGTTTTTTTTTCTTTCTGAAACAATCCCATGATGAAATCAATAATAATAATAAAAAACTATTAATAGAACCGCAAAACACATACACACACAAATCAAAACTGTGTATATTTTGTATGGTGATGGTAAAAACAAAATAACCCAACAATTGACCGATTGGTTAATGAATGAATGATGTAGTGAGGGGGGAAACTGGAAGTTTTTCTTTGTAAAAAAAAATCCTAAAACAATCAAAATTCAATAATGACAAAAAAAATTACTTTTACTGGATTAAAAGAAAAATTTTATTTTTAAAATTTGGTTTATAGTGTGAATTTTTTCCCATTTTAATTTTCACACACAAAAAAAAAATCTTTGATTCTATTTTTACCTATGTTGTTGTTGTTGTTGTAAATGATATTTCCATTAGTATGGAACAACAACAAAAATATGACAGTCGATGACATTTAAAGGTTATGGATATTATTATTTTTTTTTTGAATAAAATTTGTCATTCAACAACAACAATGGTAAACACCAAAAAAACATTTAAAGTTCTGATGATAATTTATTTTTCCATCATCATCATCATTCGGTCACGCTATGTTGATTCGAATTCATACAGATACATTATGCACGTGCATTTTTTTTTTAAATAAAGAGATTCAAAAGGATGATGATGAAACTGGTTTTTCCGGTATCATAATTAATTGTTTAGTTTGTTTAGTTTGTTTTTTTTCGTTTAAAACGTTGAAGTAAAGTGTCAACGTTGTTGTTGTTGTTGTTGTTGTTGTTTGGTTAATTATTCATTTTTTTCCATTCATTCATTCATTCGTCATTCGTTTTCTTAGTATATATTACAGGTTATGTTGTTTTTTTCTGTTTTCCTGGTATTTTGTCATTGTTACTGTTTTGTTCAAAGGTTTACTCAAAGTAGTAGTTGAATGATTGGTTTCCAGAAAAATTTTTTTTTTTTGTTTCATTTGGTTAGTTTCCTACATTTGGTTATCAATGAAATTTTTCATTTTCATTTTGTGATTTTGTAATTTTGGACTGCGTGTGTTTTACAACTAAAAAAAATGTAAAATTTTATTCAATAACTATTTTTGGTCATTTCATTCAATCACCTTGAATGTGAACTGATTTTCTTTTCTTTTCGTCATTTTGTTCTGTGAAAAAAATGATCCATCATACCATCAATGGCTATTTTTCATGTGCTAACTTGAAAGAATTTTCATTCGTAAATAACCATCATTATTATTTTGTATCATCAAAGAAACATCAAATGTATGTATGACATTTTCCTTAACAAAAGCAAACAAATTTAAATATTTTCAATGTTACCAACATACACACACACACAAACATTTAGTAATTTCTAGTAAAAATATAAATTGATTTTTAAATTACAAATCAATAAATATTTTTGTTGTAAATAATTTTTTTTAATATAGTTATTTTCATTAATTTCGTGCACGAGATTATAAATATTAGCCTGTGTGTGTGGGTGGGTGTATTTCTACTTTTGTTTTGGTCATCATGGTACGTGCATGCATCAAAATGCGTGTGTGTGTGTGCGTGGGTGTTAATCTAGGTTATTATTAATAAATGAAAATATTTTGTTCCTTATTAAATAGAACAATTTTATTAAAGAAAAAGAAAAAAAAATCATCCGTTATGATGATGAAAAGTACAAACTAAACAACTAAACAACGAAAAATCTTCATGCATGTCATCCTAATATGATTGCCCTTTTTGACATGATAAATATTAAGATCATCATCATCATCATCATATTGCAAAAAATGAATATTAAGAATTCATCATCCACATAAGAAATGATGATTGAAATGATGCATACATTTT